TAATGCATAATTAAAATGGAGTGTTGTTCTCACAGCTCAGAAAATTAACAATCTCAAATAAATCTCATCTTTCCAGTTCGTTTGGATCAGGAAGTGATAAGAGAGAACTGGTGTTTCCTCTCCATCTGAGGCTCTAGAAATTACATTTAAAACAGAATTTCCAGAGCTTCTGCTAGAGGGGACGAGATCTGTTCATAAATGACAGAAAAAACGTCACAGGGTTCCCCCACACCGGGGTTTTAGCTGAACTGCAGCGTGAGTCCCGGATGAAAACGGTTCGCCCATCCCTCTGGGAAACGCGCGTTCATTGCCACCCGTTTATAAGTTATAAAACGAGCACGCATTATGCTGTGAAACTCGCATACATGCTGATGTGAACTGGAGCGCGCTGAGTGAGAGCGCAAGACGTTGTGTATTGCTGCGGGAAAAAACAGCTTTGTTTATGCTGTGTGCAGCTGCACCGTGTAACACTCGGGAGCAGGTTCACATATGAGCTGACACGCCCTGAAGGGTTGTGTGTGTGCGTCCTCATGCGACGCTTACACCAGGATTGCTGCGGGGCGCGCGTTGGCACTGGGTTACCACTGGCTCGGTCTGCAGAACACGTTCATTGTTTGCTGCGAATCACGTGAGCTTAGAATGATTCCACGAGCTGCAATATTATTTCAGAAAACCTTCTTCGAGGATAAAAGGGGGCAGAGCCGCTGTGAAACTGCTAACGCCGCGGGAGCGCGCGTTTGACATCACTGCAATGACAAAACTTGTGTCGTTTCTGCCGATAAGCGAAATACGTTGCTGAGCTCGTACCGTGATCTCACGTGAACGTTGACGTGAACGGCGGTTGTTGAGAGCTGCGTGCGCGCCTTCCTGCCGCGGGGGCGCGCATCGGCATCGCTGACAGTGAATGAAAAACAACCTTAAAAGGCTCATTCGTGATGAGTGTGGGTGATGGGGCCGCTTGTCAGATAACCATGCTGACAGTCTGGCTAAAGGACACTTCATCATAAAATGATGTTATTCGCAGTGTCATCAACACACCTCCAGCCAAAAACGACACCTGTTTACCTTCGTTGAGCTCTGTTTGTTGTCCTGGAGGGCCCCCTGTTGGCGAAGTCCGGGAAAAAAAATGAACTTCCGGATGCCGGGGACGTCTGACGGGAGGGGCTGGCGTAGCAGAGCTGGGGGGGCGTAGAGCAGCCGTGGAGCAGCTTGAAATGATCTCTCGCTGATGAAAGGAGGATCACCAGCAAAACTCCTGCGTCTCTCCTGAGAGGAAGGTGGAGTGGCGAGCCAGGAAAGAACCTCTGGACCTCGTTCTCCGGCTGCGCTGTGGGACGGCAGACCGCGAAGAGGCGCACCGGTTGGTGATGACGTCAGCTGCCCTGTAGGCTGAGCGTACTGCAGGGGCCGGCAGCGTCGTTAGCAAGCAGCTGCTACGAGAGAGGGCCACCGTCTCTTCTCGCCTCTGAACGTGTACGCCAACAGCGTAACGTGTTGTTCGCTGCGGCCGTGGAACACATGCTGATGAGCTCAGTTGGAGAGCGATGTCACCGTCTCGGTTATGCTAACGGGAGGCACGGGACGCTGGTCCACCTCGAACATCTTACTCCCATGGAGCCTCCATCAGGCTCGGCTCCAGAGGGCACGGAGGGACTTTCCGCTCAGTGAACCCTGCTCTGGAGATGGGTGCGGACTGTGGAGACCGGCTCCCCCAATCTACCAGGAAAAAACCCGTCTGTGGCCTCGCCGTAGGACGTCCTGTTGGGAACACGAGGCCATATGGATCAAGACGGTGAGCCGGAATGGAGTCAGTAAACAACCTTCCCGCCGGATCATCCGAACTGGCGGGAAAAGGCGTAGGACGTAAAAAGGGGTCCTTTCATGTCAGCCTCCTCCTGGGTTACGCCGGGCAAACCCTGGGGGGCGCCGTCGGCCGGGAGCGGTGTGATCGCCGATGCGAAAAAAACGAGGTGGGATGGGGTGAGCATTCACTCAGCCCCCCTCCCCGACACTACGCTCCCCAGGAGGGAATGAGCAGCGGGGCTGCAGCTGAGCACGCCTTGCACCGGAGGAACCATCCGGTTCGCCCCGAGGGTCGGCGATAAGAGGAAAAAATACAAGATGGCGTTGTCCAGCGTGTAGTGACCTGTCACTGGGAAATGTTCCCCGGCGCTTACCTTGGAATAAGACTGCTGTCATCTTCTCCTCGGGGAGGAGAGCTCACTGGACGACCGGAGGTCGACTGCCGGGCCCAGCATCCTTCACAAGGTTGGTCATTTACACAACTTATCTTCTTTGTTCTTCTGACAGTGCTATATTAGCTCGCTGAAGAAAAAATGGGAGCCGATTTCCCGCTCTTAACGTAATTTATACGGACCGGGTGGGGCCCACACAGCAGGTGGGCGTGGACTAATTTTTTTTCAGTGCTTATGCTCTGCATAACGGGATAAACCCACTAAAGCGAAGGCCTTAAAGGGCGAAGCTTATATGACATAGAACTAATTCTAAAAGTGTTATTTCCTTCACAGTTCATTTAAATGCAGACCCGTTCCTCTTCCTACATCGCTCTCAAAAACATTATGGTGGATGTGTAAATAAAAAATGGGATGGTGCTAAGTCGGCAAAGTCTTTCTCCAAACTTTGTTAAGAAAATCTTTGTAGTCACAGACAAGTGGCAACCAGAGGGTTGGTGTATGTAAAGAAATGTCTCATTGAAACACTGCTACAATACTTGTAGACATCATGTTAGAGGTGTTGCACAAAAGGAAAGTCAATCAATTTTCTTTCAAATCTTATTTTACATCATGTTAAATTATCATGCACTCTAACCCAGTCATTCACGTTAATTAGTTTGGTGTTGTTTTTATGTGTGCTAATATAATTTTAGGTTCAAGTTGATTATTTGTGTAAACACTTGCCACGCAGTGGTTGCAACTCAATACGCTGGACACAACATTGAATAATAATAAAAGAAGAAGAAACAATTATAGAGCAAACAGTAAAATGTCAGCAATATTAAAACACATCAATAAGAAAAAAATATTGGGCATTAAAATACATTAAGATGCAGCAATAAATGAAGTTAATTGATGGCCCAGTCTGTGTATTTTTTCGAGTGATCTTTATGCTCGAGCGCAGATGGCTGCCTTCCCAGCTTGTTAATGGGTGCTATGAAGTAAGAGCTGCAGTTTGGTGGGTTTTTTTTTATTTATTTATTTATTTATTTATTACGTACCGTCCTCTAGAAAAATAATGTTTCTATCATATTTGATGCGATGATACGAAGTGTTTTACAATTATTACAAATTTTAAACAAAACATTAAAACAACTATTAGTTCTGAACAATTTTTTTTAAAATAAAAAGTATGTTTTGAGAAAGATTTAAAAACGGATGCTAAACTTTCCTGTTTGAGATCCTGAGACAACTCATTCTCATAGTTTATCATCGTGGTTTAAGCTCCTGCGACTCCATTATTTTTGACTATATGAACTTGAAGCAGAGGTCCCAGCTGATGATGGTGCAAATTCAAATGGTGATTTATCTTATTGCCCTGTGATGGACTTGCGACCCGTCCAGGGTGTACCCCGCCCCTCGCACAGTGATTGCTGGACATGGGCACCAGCGACCCCCGTGACCCAAAATGGAATAAGCGGGTAAAGAAAATGGATGGATGGATGGATGGATTTATCTTATTTTAGAAATATAATTGCTGTAAAGTAAGTAGACAACAAGCCCTATTGTTTCAGTGTTTTCTAAACTCTAGGAAGTTCAGTTAGTATAAAATCTGATTATCGCTACAGTTTTAAAATCATCTCTTAATATAGACCAGTGTCTGCACCCTGCAGCTCTGGAGCCACTGCAGCTATTTGATCCCTTGTTTGTATTTTCCTTAAAAAGAAACATTCACATGTTCATGAGTGAATGATTTCATGCTAATTCAGAACAAAGTAACTGAAAACTGGAACAATAAAAGGTTTTACATGTTTCTCATGTTTTACAGTAGCTGACACTGAATAAAACTAAGGGTGTATAGTTGGATGCTGTCTATCATGGTGCACTAAGATTCATAACTGGCTGTGATTATCGTACCCACCACTGCACCCTGTATTCACTGGTTAACTGGACATCATTAACTTCACGCAGACTCTCTCACTGGTATATTTTCATCTTTAAATCACTTCTTGGTCTGTTGCCTTCATACATCTCCTCCTACATGTCTCTGCGTGAGTGCAGCTACGGAGTGCGCTCTCAGGACATTATTACCTGCAGTGTTCCCTCAATGAGGACTGAACTAGGCAAAAGGGCCTTCTCCTACTCCGCTCCTGTTTCCTGGAATATCTTACAAAAAGATTTGAAGCTCTCAACCTTGACCTCTCTAAGTGTCTTTAAGAATCTGTTGGACACCTGGCAGGGTCCAATGCTGACATGTTCCTGTTTTTAGTTTTCTACATTTGTCTTGGAATCTAGCTTTTTTTTTTGTTTTGTTACCTTTTCCTTTTAACCATCCTATTTGTTAAAAAAAACAAAAAACTAGTATGCTTTTTTATAACTGTTTATTGGTGTTGCTGTTGACCATTGTTGTCATCTTTCTTTGTTGAAATCAGGTCTCTCTTGTAAATGAGTCCTCGAGGCTCAATGGGATTTACCTGTATAAATAAAGGTTGATTGATTGATTGATTGATTGATTGATTGGTTGTGTTTTGCTTTTTTCTAAACATGGGGTATGTAAAGTAGAAGAAAATCGAGAAAAACTAGAAAACTATTAAAAAAGCAATAAAACGTTGATTGCTTATGTTCAGACTAAACTGTGCATTTTCTATTGAGAGTAAGATCTGTCTCAGACCTAAAGAGTTTTTAATGTGAATGAATGATTGGTTGATGACTGTTTCCTGGGCGTGTCCATCACGGTTGATTGACAGGTCATTAGGCTAGCTGCCGCATGAGCCTCCACCTGTTGTCTTTTGAGTTCAGGAGACAAGAAGGGCTCGTTTGTCTGCATACAAACCACACATGATTGACAGAAGTTGCGGCTGCTGCTAGTTAAGTAGGTTTTTCAACGTGGTTGGGAATTAATAATTGTTTAAACATTGCTGTCCGTTATTTATTTTTATTTTTTTTGTGCTGTTGCTAGCTAATCTTTTGCTAGCTTGCGCCTGTTAACCCCTTCTTGTCAAAAACAAATCGGTGTTCTCAGTAAATATGAAGCATACAGTGTCCAGAATTAATATATATTTTTTATGTTTTGGCTGCACTTTAGCATTTTAAGTTGGACTGTTCAGGCCTCCTAGCACTATTGCATGTTTTTTATTTGTTTTTGTGGGATTGTTTTTCATTGACATTACTGCCACCTGTTAATACTGTATCCTCAGCCCCGTTGTAAATTGACTTTTTATTTATTTTTATGTTTATTGCATGCATACTCACTTCCCAGCCTAATCCTCAAAATTCTAGATATCTGAATAAAATGATTTATCCTTCTTTTAGCCTTTTCAAAAAGAAGCTAACTGTATTTAAAGCCCCCACTTATTGAATAGATTTTGGGAGTATACTTACATGCACCTTCCAGCATCACTAAAACAGTTTCTTGAAAATGACCTTGACTTAATTTGACTTAGCCTCTGCTTTTTTTTAAATCATTTGTCATCATGGACCTACTTAATTTCTGGCTATCATAATAGTACACTACAGCTTATTAAACGGTAATTCGTTATTTTTTGTCATTTACCGGAAGAGTCCAGCGGGTATAAATATAAGTATTGAGTATTGTATTCACATGTTTTAATGTGTGAAGGCAAATGTTTTAAATTCAAAGGAAATATTTCATAATTTAAGCAAAACAATTAAAGTTGTCCATCATTATGACCTCCACATACTGTTATCTTTTTTATTCTACGTCGATTGTCTTAAATAACTCTATTTCAGCCTTTGGTGATTCTTTGACATTTTAAACGACTGTTCTTGTGCCCCCATTTTACTGCCTCGTCTCTTCTACCCAGCATACCTGTGAAGCACCACAGAGCCTTGGGAACTCCTTATCAATGTCTCCGTTCCCACCAGACTTGGTAATGAATGTGGGAACTTAGAGATGGTCAAAATGGAGCATTTCCCCATGGGCGAAGCTTAAGTTTTAATTAGCAAAATTAATGGGGCAGAGCAAGATCAACTGAGGGTGAGACAGAGATGGAAAAAAAGTGTCTCCTGTGCCTAATGAGTTTTCTGAATCTGATGGATGAAGACACAAAGTTATATTTGAGGAGAACTGACGACATCTGGACAGATCTTCATCCTTTTGTAGTAGAAACAAAGTTCTGCCCAGACCAAAGTGTCTCTCTAAGATTAAAGGCTTTTGTACTGGCTTTATTTTCTCAGGGACCAGCAGACCCTTTTCTTGATCTGCAGTAAATCTGCCTTAATTTTGGATGATTAATCACTTGACGAACATCACAGCCAGTACTATCAATTAGATAACCTGTTTAAACTTGAATGCATTACCTCTTGACCTAATAGTATGTTGCAACACTCATTATTGCAAGGCACCAGTTAAATAAGAGCTTTTCTCAGCTTAGAGCTTGTATTTTAATGACTTTTAACCCACTAGTGAGTGCTCTGTTCTACTGGTACTTGTATATGGCTGAGTAAAGACAAGTTCCCTTCTATTTCTAACCTCCTATTAACAAATTTTCCTTTGTTTAATTCCATGTCTATTCCAACATAAGTTGAAAGAAAAACTTTTAAACTAAGTTTGCCAAAAGCCTAATAAATAATGAGAAAATATATAATCGAACCATCAACAAGAAACTTAAGCTCAAATGGATGAAAAGAAGGTTATGTATTGAACAAATCTTGTGATAGTATGGAAAAAAATAGTTTGAAATTGTATCTGTGTGCATTAAATAACTGATTCAAATATTGCCAAAATTATTCTGCTAAAAATTTCAAGTTGGTGAGTTTTTAAAACAAGATTATGGGTTTATTTTCCTAATTTAGAGGATACGTATTTTCCCTCCTGTGTGTTCTGAAAATGATCAAAATTAGTTATTTCATCTTAAAGCTAAAAAAAAATTGTTTTAGTTGCATGTGCATTATACTAATCACAATGTGAGAAAGCTTAGAATTAAACATGACACCCCATAATATTTTTTTTTATTCTTCTAATGTTTTTACAGATAGATTTCTGAGTATAAATCTGCAGGGGCCTCATCATGGCGCAGGAGAAGAATGATGGAATTAACAAGAACATGAGCCTTCCACCCATTCAGCAGAAAAGACCTGCTGTAAGAACTCTGCTTGCTTCCCTCTCTCCCACTGTCCTCTTTCTTTTGCTCAGTGTGCGTTAATCTCAAACGTTTTGTTCCTCACAATCAATAAAGAACACGCATGGCTTCCTGTGCTTAATTCTGTTTGATGCTTACCAAATCACATCATATGACGCATCAGTGAGTCATGGCGGCTCATCAGAAAATGAACCAAATTTTCAAAGAATTACTAAAAACAGCATGAATACTAAAACTTTGTCAACACACTTGAATCATTTATTGTCTCTCCTCCCTCTTGTTTTTATACTCGTGCTCTGAGCTAGTTAGGTGCTTTAAAAATGATTGATATTTGAATGCCTTTTTTCATTGTTGTAAAGTTTTGTTATAAATAGACATGACAGTCAGGTCTTGAACCCATCTTCATCAGTCAAACAGCCATTGATGTTAAGAGATTCATTAGCTTATATTGTATAAAAGGGGCAATCCGCCTAACTTCTAAAGGCCCACTATAACATTTTAAAGAACTTAGGTTAACTTTTGTAATTTTTGTCCAACACACAGGCTGAAGATGGAATTATAAATAAAATTGGAAGCCTTTTTTGGGCGTATTTACATCGTGTTGGTAACAAGTTGAACAAACATATCACCTATTAGTAACTTATCCATGACTTTTCCTTAGCTTGTACAGAACTTATAAAAGCTTGTGTCCACATTTTTGACTTAGCAGAGTCAGAGTTTTTTTTAATTTTCATTCGCACCCCATGTGGTACATGTGGTGGACCGAAATTATGTACACAGGGTCCCAGTTACGTCCAACAATAAACTGTAAAAAAAAAAATAGTAATAAGATCTAAGATATGAACTAAGAAAAGCATCAACTAAAAGTACGCTAAGCACTAATAGCATACAATAAAAACAATACATTGAACAGCAGCATGAACATGAGTGTGTGAGCAGATGAGCACGCATGAACACAGCAACATGAAACAGATCAGCAGCAACATGAAACAGATCAGCAGCAACATGATATGATTTTTCACAATGATTATCCTGGTTAGAGATTCATGAGTCTAACAATCTCAGGGTAGAAGCTGTTCCTCAGTCTAGTGGTTCTACACTTAATGCTCCTCAACCTCCTTCTTGGAGATCGAGGCAAAAAGTGTGTGTGCTGGGTGAGTGGGGTCCTTCATGATGCAGTTGTCCTTCTTCCTGCATCTAGAGGTGTAAAGGTCTGTGATGGTGGGGAGGCTGACTCTAACAGACTTCTGTGCAGCCTTCACCACTCTCTGCAAAGCTTTTCTTTCTGCAGCTGTGCAGCCTCCATGCCACATGTTTATGCAGATATTATGCTCAACATTAGTGCAACTTATGCAGAGCATGTTGGAGCAGACTGTGATGAGGACGGCTGTCACACAGTGACGTTCAGCATGTGAAAAAAGAAAAACACTGATGTAAGTGATAAGTTTGGTGTAAATTTTGGATAAACTACCAGCATGCTGATATATGATAGCATAAATTGTTATTTTTATGCCAATGCTAACCAATAATTTGGTACAAAAGTTTTCTGGAAATGCTGACATGTTCATAAATTAAGCATGTTACAACTATGCAACAGATAAGTTTAGTATAAGTTCACGATGTTATATGTAAGATACTCATAAGTTCCTATGTCAGAAACCAGCTGTACAATTGTGAAGTGTACTTATTTATAACCTATAGCAACTTCTAACGCTTATTTTACTTAGGCTATTCTGCAACATATTGATATATTAAACACATAGCTGATGACCTTAGAACTTATTGAATGTGTTTTGTATTTTATAGCCAGTGTTTTTTTACCATTTGGGGGTTCATCTATATAGTAGGGATGGGATGGCTCTTTGAAAGGGGTCGGAGCTTGATGAACCGTTTGCTTCATAGAGCTGTTGAATTTTAAACGAGTGATGTCATAACATACAGTGTACGTCATGTTATCAGTGCTGTACCCCACACACTTTGTCAAGCGGGAAACCACTCCGCCTCCCCTCTTCAGCTGCTGCATTCCTCTCAGTAGTCTGTTTTCCTTCGTCGCAGTAAAAAAGCGAAGGAGTAGCATTTGTCTCTGTATTTGACGAGGAAAACATGAATAAGTTTTGTATCTGCTATGCCTGCTGGTTTCTGACGTGAACTAATGAGTACCTTACATGTATACTAAATTTACCTGTTGTACACCTGTAATCTATTTCAAACTTATGAACAACACGTTGGCATACAATAAAAATTTTGCGCATGTACAAAATCATTAACTAGCCATCGTATATCAGTGTGCTTGTAACTTGGTAAAAAATGACACCTTAACTTTTGGGACTTACACCAGTGTGTTTGGCGTTGTTTTTCCATACATGACAAAAGTTGTCTAAAACGTTAGTGTGACAGGGTTTTTACAACACACATTCTATCATTTGGTGTCTGTTTATTTACTGTAAAATATTTGTACAATTTGCTGATAAGTCAGGTCACTACAGGTGACCTAAAGTCTGGTTAATCAGCAAATAATTCATATTCTAGCTTTTGAGTGTGTGATCTGTTTGACGATGTGCTCTGAGTGTATAGTACTGAATCTCATCAGATTTCAGTATTGATATTCTCTGCTATGCTAGTTACTGCATGCTGAGTTTGTACCTTTTCCCTCCTTGTCAATAGTGTTATCATTCTTTAAAAGTTCTATCAATGCAAACTGAAAGAAGTAAAACCAAAGCTCTGACTGTGACAGTTACAGTCTTCTGTACTTTAAAGTCCATAAATCTTTAAGTAAAACGTTCCATACAGCTTTTTCACATCACTGAAAGTTGTAAACAGTTGGTTTTTATTTTGCTTTTGATGCTTTGCATCTAAAATACAATTCTCCAGATTGCTTTGTGTTAGTATTTCAATACCTTATTTTTTATTATTTAAAAGAGACCTAAATCAGAGTCAGTGTTTCTTTGTCGTTCGCACCAAATGTGGTACATGTGGTGGAACGAAATTATGTACACAGGGTCCCAGTTACATCCAACAATAGACTGTAAAAGAAAAACAGTAATAAGATTTAAAATATGAACTACAAAAAACATAAACTAAAAATATGCTAAGCACTAATAGAATAAAAACAACACGTCGAACAGCAGCACATAAAGCAGAAAGAAAGTTCTCTACAAGAAGTAAAACCAGACCGCCTGATAAAACACCCATCATTTTAAATACACTTTAATTTTGACTGATGAAGAAGGTACACACCACAAACAAAATTATACAATCATCTTGTTGAAGCACGTTGGTTCCTTCATTATATTGAAGACCTGCAGCCCCTACCACTTCTGTAAAAACTGAAATATTTTTGTCTTGTGTTCTAAAATGTGTTGTTTTTTTTAATTGTGGACTATTCTAAATATCAAAAGGTTGGTCTGCTTCACTTGATACAGTATGTACTATATATGTGAGATAAATGTGTTTCCATACCTCTCAGTTGTCATGGGGGTTGAAGATCAAGAAAAAGGTGAAGACTGTTCCTTCCTTTCTGGGCAAGTTAAGACCAGCTGTGGGTCAGTGTTGCCACCAGTGCACACCAGACAGTTTGGTAAGTGAGCAGCATGGAGAGCGAGAAAAAAGGTGAAACAGGAAAGTAAAAAGTTTGAATGAAAGTAAAGAGGCTTCACTAGAAATTATCATCTTACAGCCTTATTTTTATTCCCCCACATTTTCATGAAACTTCTGAATAGACAATGACTTTGCTGAGTTTGTTGACTTTATAGTTACTGCCATATATGTTTTAATTTACAATGAAAGGAATTTTATCAGCCCGTTTGTGTAGAGGCTGAGGGATCATATTGTGCTACAGAAAATATCCAAAACAAAAGTAAATAAACACAAACATGTTGACGTCAACAACTGTTAAAAATGCAGAGACATTCTGTAGCATGGATAACCTAATTGTTTCAGGGCTCAGAGGATAATAATAGACCAAACCTGACTGGAACTTTTGAGGTGTATAGCTGAAAATTAGCTAATTAGCTCCACATCTTTTCCTAAAACATTTCATTTGACTTTATTGGAAAATGTTTTGGTGTAAATATGACTTCCAGGATTGCAGCTGACAAATCACATTAAAACTTGATTTGATTATAAAGGCAATCAAGTAAAAGATTATGGGAATAAAAAAGAGGACAAACAGATTATATTGTTGTTGCATGATGCTCACTCATCCTCCTGCCTGTGTTAAAAAACTTTTTTTTTTTTTTTTTTTTAAACAGTCCCTGTAAAATTGTGACTAAAAGTTTAGATAACTTCGGATTAATTTCCACCCATTTCTGCCATTTATCTTTAGTCGGGGAGAGGCAAGAAGTTTAGGAGGGAAAACCAAACCTTCCTTTGCCAAGCAGCATACTCCAGCTTCTTCTGGGAGATCCCAAAGGGTTCTCAGGCCATAGAGGACACATAATATTCCCCTCTACCCAAAGATCTACCCCAGGTGGACAGAACTGGAAAACCTTTAAAGGAGTGTTCTCAGGATGTATCTTGATCAGATGCCCAAACCACTTCATCTGACTCACATTTATGCTTTAATCAGAGCCTAGTAATGTAGCTCCTCACCTTTAAGGAAGAGCACATCCATCTTACAGAGGAAGCCCATTTCAGCTGCTTGTTGTCAGAATCACATTATTTTAGAAATGATTAATACCTCATGGCCATAGGTGAGGGTTGGAACATAGATGGACCAATAAGTTAAGAGCTTTGCCGTTTAATTCCACTCCTTCACAAGAACAGACTGGAACGACACCCTCATCACTGTGAACAAGGCCCTAATCCATTTATCCATCTCCCACTCTATTCTAAGTGGAGGGAACTTTGCATCTTTCTGTGGTTGGTACCGATGACCTCAGACATAGAGAAGCTGACTCCCATACCAGTACACTACACTGCTGCGAACTGCCCCAGTGCAGCGAAGGTCATGATCTGCAAGAAACTGAGACAAGATTCTGAGGTTCCAAAACACTCTTCTCCAAAACATTCAAAAACAAAAACAACTGGACTTCTGAAGTTCAAGATGTTTCGCTTCCCCTCCGGGAGGCTTTATTAATTTAAATAAATATCTGAAGCGTGTGGAGTTCCAAGCCTTATAGAACTGTGTGAGAGGCCTCATTATGAACTTACTGGTAGATTCACATTCAGATTAGACTGGAACTGCTTGCCCCACACAATGGAGGGTTGTTAATTGTTTTAATTTTTTTTAACCTTTTTGGGGGGGGGGGGGGGGGGATTGATCATGACCTGGGTGACTGAATCTACACCAGCATATTCTCCACGCTGGCGAAGATTAAGCTAATCTTAATAAAGAAAAATAAACAAATGAAAAACAAGTTTGGATAACACATTTTTATAATGCTTTGCTTGAAACATCTGCAAATGTGTTTCACCTTAAGATCCTGCTCATGAACACCACAAACAGGATTGGAGATACGGGACAACTCTATATTCATTACTTTCTTCAAAAAACAAAGAAAAGATCTCAAGTTCTAACAGATTTACATACTTCAGTGCTGCTTCAGTAATTTAAGGTTATGTAATTTAGAAAATAAACAGGTTAGTTTTTGTGTATGTTAAAAAAAAAAAACATTGAATACAAGTGTTTTATCAGCCAAACGGTGTTTGAATCTGTTGACACTATTTTCATGCGTGATTTTTATTTGTAATTTATTAGAGCAAGAAGCTTGGACGAACCTCATTTCTTGGCTTCCGTAACCTATTAAGTATTGATGACAAACAAACCAGGTAGGCACAAAGTAATTTTTGTCACACACATTGACCTATGCAAAAATATTTAAATGTTGAGGGATTTCATTTATTTATTTATTTATTTCCCCCCCTCCCAGATATCGAGGCTGGCTGGTGCGGAGAGTTTGCTGTGTCTTGTTTGTGAGTGGGCGCAAGGTTTATGGGCATCCTGTTAGCGACAGGATGGAGAGAGTCTGTCAGAGCAGCAGGTACCTGAGGAGAAAGACTGCGGAGGCAGGTGTAGAGATGCCAAAAGAGTGTAAATGAATGTTAAATGGTAGAGATACAGAAAATGAAACTGGCTGCCACAACTCTGAGGTGAGGCTAAGGAAAAGAAAACCTAGGAAGATAAGAAAGACACACAAAGATACAGAAAATTGAGCTCATCAACAGTTCATTGCAGAGTGAAAGAAAAGAAAAATTAATGACTTTGGACGTTGCTCACACTTTTCCTATCTCTGTCACCGAGTCCTCGGTATCTGTTGTTTTTCCCTCCTCCTGTGTAATTGAGTTTAAGCTTTATGTAACCATGGGAGTGCTACTCTTGTTGCCACGTTGCTGGAAGGCAGATGTTTGTGTTAGTGCAGCACAGATGAGGCTTTGTACTGTCTTAACCCTGCTGTCCTGTGACCATGTGTTTCAGGGTGAAGGAGGCACTTGCAGCAGATCATAAAGCGCTCGAGGAGGAAGATAGCCAAGGGCAGTCCAGTCCCCTCTCACTGTTCCTCCCCATCATTAACACCTGCATTTCTCCCGGCCTCTTAAGGTGTGTGTCTGTGTGTGAGAGAGTTTGAGAGACAGCTGGGTAAAGCATGACTGAAACATGTACTAAACTGTTAATTTATTGAAAAATAAACAAACGAAAAGCAGATTTGGGTAACAAATATTTATAATGCTTTGCTTTAAACCTCCTGGGGCAGCTGTGGCTGAGTGGTTAGAGCAGTCGTCCTCCAATGGCAGAGTTTGGGGTTCGATTCCACCAGCAGTCACATACTGAAGTGTCCCTGGGCAAGACACTGAACCCCTCATTGCATCTGATGTGTGTCCCGTCGGTGTATGAATGTGATAAAACTCTGATTATTCTTTGTAAAGATCTAGTAGAGTGCTGTATGAATGGGTAAATGAGGACACGGATTGTCAAAATTGGTGCAATTATTATGTTGAAAAATGTGTAGTTTGTGAAGCTGAAGCTTTTGATCACTTTGTTAATAAGCTCTGTTGCTGTCCAGTGCTGTTAAAAACATGTTAATGAACCACTGGCAGACATGTTTTTTTTTTTTGTTTGTTTGTTTTTAATGAGCAAGGACAGCATTAAATAAACCCGAGTCCTTGTAACTAAAACACTTAAGAGCTCAGAACCCAATTTAACAATGTTTCCCAACAAATCAAATAATGTCGTCTATAATTTGGCTGAATAGATTTTTTTTATTTATTTATTTATTTTCAAAGGAGGAAGATTATTACATTGTTGCCCTCTATTTTTGTAGTATTGATGATAAGCTGCAGCTGTAGTTTCTATGAAGAAGAGACCGTGGGGTTTATCATATCCCTCTACCTCTCACATCTTCAAGATAGAAATTGTAATCAAACAGTGCACTATATTTGTAAAATAAATGAAAAGTAAATTTAATAAACGTAATAAATTTGCAAATTGAGATCACTTAACAATTTTTTCGTTGGAATTTAGAAGTAGAAACTGAAGATGAGTGATGAGACTGTTTTTCTAACCAGAATGTTTTTTTTTTACATAAACAGGTAAAATATGATATAATAGCTAAGAGAGGTGCTAACAGATCACATGTTGGTTATTGTTTGTTATTGTTGCTTGTTTTCACCTGAGATCGGTCCTAACATAATTTACAAGGTTTCAACCAACAAAAGACTATAACTGTCCCCTCTCTTCATAAGATTATATTAGTTTAAATCTGGTAAAGAAAGGCGGTTGGTAAGATGCATTCCTTCAAGGAACCTTTATTTAGTTAATTTATTATTTATTTAGGTACCTCCTTAAAGAAAACTAATACAAAACTCAAAGTTTGTTTTCTCAGTCATCCAAGTATATAACAACAAAAAAGGTTGAATCATGTCATCTGGACTTCGTTTTTTTGTTAAAAAAAGGCCTCAGACTGACGAAGCCTCTTGGATGAGGGGCGAAACGTTTCTTTTTAACAAAAAAACGAAGTCCAGATGACATGATTCAACCTTTTTTGTTGTTATATAC